GCGGGGGTAGGGGAAGGGAAGCAGACACCAAGGAGCAGTAACTGAGTGTTTTCCCTAATACTAATGCACATCAAGAGGCAGGAGTGAGAAAGAAGCTCTTTGGCAGGCGATAGCTCTCAGGGGTAGGATCTGCAAGAGCCCAAGCAAGGGATGCAGCATTCAAAGGGGAAAAGAAAAAAAAACGTAGCTAGGCTAATGGACAGGGATGCGGTGCTCACCCTGAGATTGCTGAGATTGCTCTGTGCACTTTACAGAGTCAGCACTTAGGGCTAGGTTCATAAAAGCCCCTGTGAGGGGAAAACACCTAGCTCCAGCTACAGAGTATTTATCCACTGAAACTGTGCAATGCAAGCAGCTGGGTGGAAGCAGGAACAGGTAAGGGGACAAGTGGAGGAGGGGGTTTTCTGTCTTCTCCCCCCCCTCCCTTTTTGTCTGCTCAATAGAGGAGAAAAGTGCAAAAAGGAGCAGAAATTATCCCCGTAAGAGCAAATGCTGCGCATGCTGCACTCCTGGGTAGATGCTCTGTAGCGTAGCTTGTGAGCCTTGATGGGCACTAGCTTTTGGAGAAGGCCAATGGGAAGCAAGGTGGGTGAGTGCCCCCACAAAGTCCATCACCAAAAGAGACTGGAAACTGATTAGGGCTCAGTGTAATTAACAGGTACAAGTCAGTTTGCACATCAGAGCCTGTGCAGGACCACACTAAAGGGTAGTTGATGCTATGTCTCTGCAGGTCACGCCTGGACGTCCCGAACAAGGACATGTCCCACAACTCCACTGAAGGCCAACAAGGCTGGTTTGCAGCCAGCAATGACAGCAGCAGCTCCTTGAACTTGGACTCTGTGGGGCAACCTCTTGCCCTGAATCCCTGGGATGTGGTGCTTTGCATTTCTGGGACTATCATCTCCTGTGAGAATGCCATTGTGGTAGCCATCCTATTTTACACCCCTGCCTTCCGGACTCCAATGTTCCTGCTCATCGGGAGCCTTGCCACTGCTGACTTCCTGGCCGGCTTGGGGCTGATATTCCACTTTGCCTTCGTCTATTGCATCCAGTCGCAGGCGCTGAACCTCATCACTGTAGGGCTGCTGGTGACCTCGTTCACTGCCAGCGTGGGCAGCCTGCTGGCCATCACTATAGACCGCTACCTTTCCCTCTACAATGCACTGACTTACTATTCAGAAAGGACAGTCACCAGGACTTACATCATGCTGATCCTGACATGGGGCTTTTCCATCTGCTTTGGGCTACTGCCCGTCATGGGCTGGAACTGCTTGAAAGACATCTCCACCTGCAGCATCGTGAAGCCCCTGACCAAGAACAACCTCATCATCCTCTCCATCTCTTTCTTCATGGTCTTTGCAGTGATGTTGCAGCTCTACATACAGATCTGCAAGATAGTTTGCAGGCACGCCCACCAGATTGCTGTGCAGAGGCACTTTCTGGCCACCTCGCACTACGTCACCACCAGAAAAGGCATCTCCACCTTAGCTGTCATCTTGGGGACTTTTGCTTCTTGCTGGCTGCCCTTTGCCATTTACTGCCTCCTGGGGGATTACACCTACCCAGCCCTCTATACCTACATGACCATCCTCCCTGCTACCTACAACTCCATGATTAACCCTGTTATCTATGCCTTCAGGAACCAAGAGATCCAGAAAGTGCTGTGGACTGTATGCTGTGGGTGCTTCTCTTCCACAATGCCTTTTAGGTCCAGATCTCCAAGCGATGTCTGACTCACCGGACCTTGGTCCAAAGACCCATTTGCACATGACATTCCCCCTTTTTGCACAACCCCAGAGATTTTGTGAGAGCTCTTAAAGAGTCTGTCTCCTCCGATTCCCCTTCCCTTGTGTGCATGAGCTGCTCTCTTCCTTTATTTTTCCACTTTCAGAATTTACGGAAGAAAAAAATACTTATTTTTATCCATAATAAATAAGAATAGTTGTGTGTGTACATAGGTGTGTGTGAGAGAGATCCTCCATAAGTATTTTCTTTGACAATACTTACAGTGCATTTTTTAAAAAGAGAGGCACTGCCTTTTAGTTCTTTTGGCTTTTATATAGCCTTGTTAATTACCTCAGATCTTCAGATATTATTTTCTACATCAAAGGTCCATTGTTTCCATGTAACAGTGGACCAAAACTAAACCAGCTTTTAAAAAAATGTTTATGCATTATTTATTAATTTATTTTTTATTTATGACCAGCTTTTTCAAGACAATAGATTTTTCGGAACTCTGTAATTTGCTGCCCTCTAGTGTTCACTATGTTTTAATACAAAAAAAATAAAAATAAAAATGAAGGCTCCTTTTGCATGTTGAGTACCCTGGGTGGTATTAGGTAATAAGGGAATCATGTATCATGCATAGACGACTGGAGGCGAAAAGGGGAAGCTGAAATACTAGATTGTGCCTATAAAAACCCAAGGGCTCAAATGATCAGAATTGCTTTCTAAACCATTGCACTACTAGAGACTCTTCAATGAACTAAAGTTTCTGTCTCAGTGGAGATAGATTGTGTGTTGGCCAAATTCAAAATTCGGAGTCTGAGGACAGCTATTCAGTGTACTGTACATTCTTCAGGTTTGCATGACTCTGCAAAGGACGCAAACGGAGGACGCGCTTTAGACAATTGAAAGCTCACTGCATTGTTGCACAGACTCTTGTTCCATGTGATTTGGAAAGTACTGTATTCTTGTTTACAATCATAAAAGAAAAATAAAGGTAATTTGTGATACAATGCGTGGCTGCTTGATTCGTGCCAGAGGGGAATAAAAGATCACCATGCACTAGGGGAATAACTGGAAGGAGATGGCTTCACCCTCGATACATTATAAAGTCTTGGGTCCTATTAATGCCACCTTCATCATAGACTCTAGAGAATGAAAAGAACTCTAAGAGCCCCACAGCCCATCTCTCTAGAACCAATTCAAGATTCTTCCCTATGCCACATTTTTAGGCTGTGTCTACATTGGCATGATCTTGCACAAATACTCTTTAATGCAAGAGTTCTTGCGTTAACGTATTTGCACAAGAGAGACTCTACACTGGCATGTGCCTTTGCATAAGAGATGTGCTTTTGCGCAAGAGCATCCGTGCCAGTGTAGATGCTCTTTTGTGCAAGAAAGCTCCAATGGCCATTTTAACCATCGGGCTTTCTTGCGCAAGAAATTCATGTTGCTTGTCTACACTGGTGTCTTACTGGTGTCCTAAGAGGGCTTATTCCTCAGCAGGAGCATCATAGTTCTTGTGCAAGAGCACTGATTTCACACATTAGAACGTCAGTGTTCTTGCGCAAGAACTCGGCCAGTGTAGACAGGCAGCATGTTTTTGCGCATAAGCGGACGCTTTGGCACAAGATCGCGCCAATGTAGACACAGCCTTTGTGTTTTGACCAATCTTGTAAAAAAGCCCAAGTAACAGTCCTCCTAAGAGACATTTCTGCTGCCCAATACATCATGTTAGCTGGAAGTTCTTCCTAGCATAGGTGCCTTTTATTTAGTCAGGGAGAAGGGTATCTAGGGATCTCTGGGTCCAATTAGTTGGGATTGGTCCTGCCTTGGGCAGGGGGCTGGACTTGATGCCCTCCTGAGGTCTCTTCCAGCTCTATAATTATGATATGATTCTATGATTATGAATTCAGAGTCCTCCTAATTTTCAAAGCTCTTACGTACCAAAGATGAAACTTCTGCGAGCCAGAGTGGCAAAGCAAAGGTGAGGTCTCACGCTGCTCAGGATCAGACTGCGCCCTCAACTGAGCAGTTATCGAGAACGACAAGGGGGAAAGGTGGCACTGGACAGGAGCAGTCTGCACACAGATCCACTGCCCACTGTCTGAGATTGGTGTGTGGTCCCTAGATAGGATGGCGGTAGAGACACAGGGGTAATTTCCCTCTTTGCAGCCCGCAGAGAAGCATGGGGGTTAAACAGAACCAGATTGGAGCTGAGATGTTCTCCTCCTGCAAACGGCTCTCTGATCTCCAGGGCATCTGGAAACTGAAGAGCTCTGGGCCCTCTCATTTCAAGAACAGGCCAGTTTGCAGCATTGCACCTGTGAAATGGCTTAGCTGTTCTAGCATCAGGTTGGAAATGCTACAGCCACTGGTTCAAATCCCAGCAAAGTAGGCTCATCACTTTATCCTCCTCCCAGTGTCACGAAGTTAACTGCTTGAAGGGGTCTTTTGGAATGAGGCTAAAGTCCAAGGACCTGCCTGCTCTCTGTGGGCATGAGAGTTTCACAGGTGAGTGGATTTAACCTTTCCTCTGTAGGGCCTGTCATGCAGCAAGCTGTGCAGAGACTGGGTGCCACCCTCCAAGCCGGAGGGAGGTGCATTGCAGGGAGGTTGCTGCACGGACACCAGCCCAAATGCCGGAGCCATTCAGTTTCCCTTTTTGCTCAGGCAGAACCTTCCGCGTGAGTGGAATGTGAATGCCCCTGGGTTGATCATTGGACTCCTTCAGCAGCCTTGCTCCAGTGTGGAGGGAGTAAAACAGACGTCAGCATATCCTGGTCTGGGCTGTAGTTTGTAACTGGCTTTAGCACTTGGGGAGGGAACGTGCCAAGAAAAGGAGGGGGGAGGCTGCGTCTACAATAGGTGATAGGCCCATGAGCAGAGCCCCAGTTGAAGATGTGGGAAAACCATGTTTGGTTCTTTGTTTCACTCCAGTGAGTTCGCCAGAGCAGAGCCCTCCCCCCGCCACTGCTGAGGAGCAGTGAGAATAAACACGCAAAAAGAGAGCAAGGTGTTCTGCTACCACCGCCTGTTAGTTACACCCACCCACGTTAGGCAGCTCCGGGTACAATAACGTTCCTGTGGGCATTGGGCTGTAACAGAGAAGACCCCTGATTTTCAGAGGTGCCCCAAATGCAGTCGATTGGCCCTCCAGCTGCCCAGCACCTCTGTAATTTAGGGGGCTCTATTCTCACACAAGGGATTCCTGCATCTGGTTCAAATCACTTCAGGGAAACATGGAGGCTGCGTTTAGACTGGCATGATTTTCCGGAAATGCTTTTAGCAGAAAAGTTTTCCGTTAAAAGCATTTGTGGAACAGAGCGTCTAGATTGGCACGGACGCTTTTCTGCAAAAGCACTTTTTGCGGAAAAGCGTCCGTGCCAATCTAGACGCGTTTTTCTGCAAAAAAGCCCCGATCGCCATTTTCGCCATCGGGACTTTTTTGCAGAAAACAAATCTGAGCTGTCTACACTGGCCCTTTTGCGCAAAAGGGACTTTTGCCTGAACAGGAGCAGAATAGTATTTCCGCAAGAAGCACTGATTTCTTACAGTAGGAAGTCAGCGCTTTTGCAGAAATTCAAGCGGCCAGTGTAGACAGCTGGCAAGTTTTTCCAGAAAAGTGGCTGATTTTCCAGAAAAACTGGCCAGTCTAGACACAGCCGTAGAGTAGTGTAGTAATTGAGGGTCAGTAACATGAAGTCAGCAGGCCTAAATTGCAGGCCTGTTGCTGTTTTCATGTTACAGGCGTCTATTTAGGTACGACAAATAGTAATAGCGATGTAGCTGTGTTAATCTGGTCTTGCTGACACAAAAGACATTCATGCTTAAATTTTACACTTTACGAATGGGCCTTAACAAAGATGCTAATTATATTACCCATTACAAAGATAGCTTCTCCAATTATCACCCCTAATATCATTATCTCATAGACACTAACCTCCCCCCCACAACCTCTCTCTGTTCTAAAATCTGATTTGTCAATTTTATACGTGTTGACTTGTTTTGAATGTATCCCTTTGGTAGATATGGTCATGCCACTTTTCTTCCACAATTTGATCTGAGGAAGTGGGTCTGGCCCACGAAAGCTCATCACCTAATAAACAACCATCTTGTTAGTCTTTAAAGTGCTGCACAGTCCTGTCTTTTGTTCCAGGGAAACAGACGGTGGTGAGGCAGGAAAGGAAAGTGGCTCCCAGACTTGTGGTGCGGGTTTCTTTCCTTCCTAGGAATGGCTCTGGCAATCAAACTGCAGGCTAAAAGCAGAATGGGTGGGAATGGTGGCACTGAGCGAGGCAAAGGAAGATTGTTCACTCTGGGCTCTTAAGCTGTGTCCTCTCCGCCTGGCTCGCATAGCAGCCACAACAAATCAATCATTGGTCTTTACAGTCATTACGCCTCACAGGCGAATGCTGCAAGCCTCAGCGACCATCAGGAGACAGCAAAAAGCAAGACAGAAGTCCTAGGCCTGACACCTCCTGGAATGAGGAAAAACTGCTTCTGCCTTCCAACTACAGTTCCCACAATGCATGGGGCTGGCACAACGCAATGGGGAAGGGACTGCAAACTAAAAGGCTGATCCCAAGACAGGCGCTGAGAACAATGACCCCAGTGTTTTGTCATCAGTCCCACGCAGCCCCAGATGATTTTATTTAAAAGTATTTATTCCTGGCCCATGCCATTCCTGATCTCTCTGCTGAGACTCCTAAGGTGGCTGGAAGCGAGTGCAGATCTTTTAACACCACTCTCTTCTGAATGGGACTGGAACTGCTATGGTGCATGTCATAGGCCCTATATTGCTAACATCGAATGGAGAATCTCTTTTACACTAAGGCTATGTCTACATTGGCAGCTTCTTGCCCACCCCTGTCCTAATTGCTCCCACCTGGAAGCAGAGACACCTACACAGTCAGGTGATTCTTGCCTGCAGCTGCATTCCTTTCCCCCCTCGGCTGAAAATCAGGCCAAACGTGGTGCAGGGAAGTCTCAGGCCCCCAGATCCCCCACACAACCTCAGTGTTTGCTTTCACAGAACACAAACCAGAAGCAATTCCACAGTAGTTCCAGGCACTGTTCCAGGCTTCAGCTCACAGAGCATGCAGTACTGTACCCGGCTGGATTAGACAAACACCTTTGCGTCAGAGACAAGCTTGTGCCCTTTCACAGGAAAGGGATCAAAATCGGCAGGGAAAATCAAAACGCACTGACTAAACAACACTGTGTTGTAATTGTTTTGGGTTAAACCACCAGTGTTGGGGCTCGCGTGATTTCTAGACGTGGTTGAGGGGAAGGGTTTCAGTGGCGGATTGGGCTCAACTAGCAGCACCCTGGGGTGGGTAAACAAGCAGGAACAGGCCGTGATCAAAGTGGATCCACAACTGATGGTTTCATTGGCTGCATCTAGATTGGCATGATTTTCCGGAAATGCTTTCAACGGAAAAGTTGTCCGTTAAGCATTTTCAGAACAGAGCGGCTAGATTGGTACGGACACTTTTCTGCAAAAGCACTTTTTGCGGAAAAGTGTCCGTGCCAATCTAGACTCGCTTTTCTGCAAAAGAGCCCCGATCGTCATTTTCGCCATCGGGGCTTTTTTGCGGAAAACAAATCTGAGCTGTCTACACTGGCCCTTTGGCGCAAAAGGGACTTTTGCCTGAACGGGAGCAGCATAGTATTTCCGCAAGAAGCACTGATTTCTTACAGTAGGAAGTCAGTGCTTTTGTGGAAATTCAAGCGGCCAGTGTAGACAGCTGGCAAGTTTTTCCGGAAAAGCGGCTGATTTTCCGGAAAAACTGGCCAGTCTAGACACAGCCCTTGTGTGTATCCCTTTGTCATTTTGCAATGAGTTGCAGGGCCGGCCCGCAACATGTTGGCACCTGAGGCAGGGAGCTCAAATGACGCCCCCATGCTGCCTTTTCTCCTGCCTGCCTGTTATGTCTCTTGTGCCCTCCTTTCTCCAGCACAGCACTCCCCCATCTCTGTGC